GCAGGGACGCGACTGGGCGGCGATTATTAAGCAAGGACGCGACTGGCGGCGATTAATAAGCGAAGGCGCCTGGGCGGCCATTATCAAGCAGGGACGCGACTGGGCGGCGATTATTAAGCACGCGACTGGCGGCGATTAATAAGCGATGGCGCCTGGGCGGCGATTATCAAGCAGGGACACGACTGGGCTGCGATTATTAAGCAAGGACGCGACTGGCGGCGATTAATAAGCGAAGGCGCCTGGGCGGCTATTATCAAGCAGGGACGCGACTGGGCGGCGATTATTAAGCAAAGATGTGACTGGGCGGCGATTAATAAACGAAGGTGCCTGGGTGGCCATTATCAAGCAGGGACACAACTGGGCGGCGATTAATAAGCGAAGGTGCCTGGGTGGCCATTATCAAGCAGGGACACAACTGGGTGGCGATTAATAAGCGAAGGTGCCTGGGTGGCCATTATCAAGCAGGGACGCGACTGGGCGGCGATTAATAAGCGAAGGCGCCTGGGCGGCCATTATCAAGCAGGGACACAACTGGGCGGCAATTATTAAGCAAAGAAGTGACTGGGCGGCGATTAATAAACGAAGGTGCCTGGGTGGCCATTATCAAGCAGAGATGCGACTGGGCGGCGATTAAGAAGCGAAGGCGCCTGGGTGACGATTATTAAGCGGATACGCGCCTGGGTGGGGACAATACCTGGGCAGCGATTTTTGGGCGGACGCTGCAATTATTGGGTGGATGCGACAATTATGGGACGACCCTTATCCTTTTCAGAATACTTTTTTAGATAGAAAAGGGGAAAAATACAATGAGGATAGGATAGTGGCATTACAAAAAAAGATCTCTTCACACCTTGTCCCATCAGGACACAATTTAAGACATCAAAAAACTCTGTGCCAGCAGCACATTTACAAACATTACATATGCATTTGACGGCAAGGCGGTGAGATATGTTCATGAAGCACTTCCAGATAGACCATAGTCCTGATAAGATGTTGGTCAGCCGGCACGGTTCTGATAAGCCTTCACAGAAGTTCTCGGGGGATTGGGGGGAGGGGGGATAGACAAAGCTTTTCCTTAGTTTACACATAGCCCAGGAGAAATTTGATGTCAGCCTGTTTTCGAGGCCAACCGGGTTAGTCAGATTCAGATAATCCACAATGGCCAGATTAGTGGGCATTCTACTGGTCTGTGCCTACGAGCCTCCTCCAAGGTCATTTCCAACATGCTGGTGAGTCCCAGAAGCTGCAGGTGGCCTGCACAAATCGCTTCTATCTTACGGTTTATCTTGTAAATCAGCTGATTTTGAGTACTCAAAGCATGAACCAAACCTTCAAACAGACTTGGCAGTTTTACCATTGCCGAAACTGCTGCCATCGTCTTCCTTAATGGCCGATAACAGGAATCCACCGATGCCAGAGAGTAGAAATCCTGCTTTCATAAATCCAATTATATAGACGGCTTCGGCATCCTCCTGAGACAGAACGGAAAGATGCATCAGCTCCCAAACCCCCAAGGATCTATGACGCATCTTGCCGCGTGAGTCTCAGCGGGGCATGAGGGCTCTCCAGGACCATATCGCTTTGTTGAAAAGATTTTGCCGATTGCGTTGAAAAGTCCAGCTGACCAGATCCATGACAGTAGTTTTAGTTTCATAAGATGTGTAAAATAGGAGCTCCGATACACAGACAGAGAGCAAAAAAGCAGTAGGAGAACAGGAGAGGGAGAGGAGGTGTCCGCCTTGCACAAGAGCGAGTGCAGAAGAAAAAAAAAATCTGGACATCAATACAACTCGTTTGGTTTGTTGACGCTTGTTATTTCAGAATATTCAGATTCTTGGTCATGTCTATGTATGTTTTTATATTAAATATGACAATTTTTTTCTAAAGTTCAGGTCTCCAGGAGAGACTGGGAGTAGAGCTGCTGCTCCTCCACATCCACAAACAGCTGAGGAGGTTCAGATGTGCCTGAACCTCCTCAGTTTCATTTAATTTCATATTTAAAATGGCAGTATTCCTAAAATCCAAGTCACTGAGCACAGCTGGACCAGGTGTGTGCAACCATCACTGTAAAAAATAAGAGTTATTAAAGTAAAGAGAGAAAAGAAACACTTGTTACCTGGTGGAGGTTCCAGGAATGGGTCGGCCCGTGTCCACCAGAACACACCAGCAGTAGCCCGTTGACTGGTGGCACTGGATCGCCTTGTAAAGACCTCCAGCGCCGCAGTCGGGGACAAAAACTGTGCTGTACGGACTCTGGCCAGCTGAATCCAGGGCGATCTGTCTCTCCTGCTCGCAAGGAGGACCTTTTTCTAAAACCAGGAGAAAATGACTCAATCAGGCAAAACCAGAGAAACCAGCACGCTCAGAGCAGGAACAAACGGACAGCCGTTCTTTAAGCAGTCTGACCTAGAGAACAATATTTCCCACCTCTTGAAGTGAGACGCTCTCTGCTACCTTTGTGCTCAGCGACAGACCTCAGCTCTGTCCGAACTTAAGGTGGGGGTTAGGATCTTTGTTTGAATGTGTCTAGATGCAGACATGAACTGTTCTGAGTCCTTTTTAAAACAAATGAATATCGTCCTGAGAAAAGTAAAGGGCAGAACTTTGAAAGGCCGTTTACAGCATGGAAGGACATACGTCTTCAGACCCTGACAGGCTGGTACAGATGTTTGGGACAGACACAAAGAACAAGACCGCCACAGGTGATCACCGCTCTCTTCACTGTATTTTACACCTGGACCTGCCATTCTGTGTTGACCGTGAACGCCACAGACATACAAGCAGCATCTCCTGCATTAAAAAGTCAGTGTTTAGAAGTACTTTAGCTTTCACAAAGTTAAAATTGACGTTGACAGAAGCCACACAACAACCAAGTCGTATCCACGTTTCCACCCAGAGGATGAGGAGAAAGGTTTCCTCCCACAGTCCAAGAACCTGCACGTTAGGACTGCTTTTAAAGTGGGATGTGTCTGGTTAAATAAAGGTCAGTAAATTATATTCAGTGGACAGACATTGAGCTCCTAATCTAAACAGAAAATAAAACCCATTCTTTGTTTGAAACGCACTACTCGAGACAAATTCTCTGTAAAATTCCTGGCTCAACTCGACATTTACTCATTTATTCGACAGAATCTGAAATGTTTACCCCATGAAGTAAACCCGTGTGATGTGGTCTGGATAAAAACATAAATAAATTAAATATGAATTTGTCTGGATAAAGTCAAGAAAATTTCAGGATTGAGATGTTAGCTGATATCTACATAGTTTGCCTCCTAAATCTGTTTTACTTTTGAATTTCCACCTAAAGTTTAATTAATAACGACCTTGCAGATCGTTGGTCGAACCTCAGATCCAGGAGGAACAGTCCAGGTTCCATGATGGCCGTGGAACACTGGATCAGCTCTTTACCCTCACTAGGATCCTTGAGGGGTCATGGGAGTTTGTCCATCTAGTCTACATGTGTTTTGTGGACTTGGAAAAGGCTTTCGACCATGTTCCTCGGGGTACACTGTGAGGGGTACTTTGTGAGTATGGGATTAAGGGCCTGTTGTTACGGGCTGTTTGGTCCCTATACAAGTGGTGCAGGAGTTTGGTTCTCATTGCCAGTAGTAAGTCGGACCCCTTCAGGGTGGAAGTTGGACCCCGCCAGGGCTGCCGGTTGTCACCGATTCCATTTATAATTTTATAGACAGACTTTCTTGGTGCAGCCAGGGGGCAGAGCGAGTCCGGTTTGGTGGCCTCAGGATTCCTTCTCTGCTCTTTGCAGATGATGTGGTCCTGTTGGCGGCATCGTGCCGTGATCTCCAGTTCTCATTGGAGCAGTTCACAGCGGAGTGTGAAGCACTGGGATGAGAATTAGCACCTCCAAATCTGAGGCCATGATCCTCAGTTGGAAAAGGTGGATTGTTCTCTTCAGGTTGAGGTTCTGCCTCAAGTGGAAGAGTTCAAGTATCTCGGGGTTTTGTTCTCGAATGAGGGAAGAATGGAGTGAGAGATTGACAGATGACTTGGTGCAGCATCTGCAGCCTTGTGGACTCTGTACCAGTCTGTTGTGGTGAAGAGGGAGCCGAGCTGTAAGGCAAAGCTCTCCGTTTACCGATCAGTCTACGTTCCTACCCTCACCTATGGTCATGAACTCTGGGTAGTGACTGAAAGAATGAGATCGTGGATACAGGAGGTTGAAATGAGTTTCCTCTGCAGGGTAGCTGGACCCTCCCATAGAGATTGGGTGAGAAGTTCAGTCAACCGGGAAAGACCGAGTAGAACCGCAGCTCCTCCACATCGAGAGGAGCCAGTTGAGGAGGTTTTGGGTATCTGATAAGGATACTCCTCGAGCACCTTGCTAGAGAGGTGCTTTGGGCATGTCTGACAGGGAGGAGACCCTGGGGAAGACCCAGGACACGCTGGAGAGACGACGTCTCTCAGTTGGCCTGGGAACGCCTTGGGGTACTCCCAGAAGAGCTGGAAGAGGTGGCTGTGGAGAGAGATGTCTGGGCCTCCCTGCTCAAGACTCTGCCCCCGCGACCTGACTTTGGAACAAGTAGAAGATGATGGATGGATCTTTCAGACCAGGAATCCATGCATTATTTAGTTTGATCATTTTAAAAAGTTGCGTCAAAGGGCAAGATTTACACATTAAATAACCTCTCTAACTCGATTAAAGAAATTAAGATAGAACAAAGCCCATGTCAGAAGTATCCCACTCCTCCTGGTGTGCAAGAAATATTTTCCTGTGCACGTTTCAGAATCACACGTTATCTGCGTGTTGGACAAAGCTGTCTCCAGCTCAGTGACATCAACACAAGCAGACATGGAGGCGCTGGCAGATGTAGAGGAGGGGGTGGCGAGGTCAACTTTCCAAGACGCGTTGGCCAACACGTTGTCGACCTCGGAGCCCCCATGAACGCTTTTCTTCTGTGAAGACTCAGTCTGAGGTGTTGGGAGCGCTGTCCTCGCCAAGCCTCCCTCACATGCAGATTCTTCAGCCCTGTTTATTATCCAGAGGTTACCAGGCGCTGAGGTTTCCAAAAGAAAACTGTTTTTGTACATAGAAATGGAAAAAGGCTGGATGCCGGTGATCCCTTTGGGTTTGGTTGGACGGGAAGTTCCATCTGCATCCCCTCTGCCCGCCTCGTCTCTACAGTCTTTGATTGGTTGCTATCAAGTTATTTTTAATTCTCTTGTCCCGGCAGGAACTGAAAGATGAGACACTGACGGTCACCGACCCAGATGATTGAGTCCATGTTGGCTCACTTTCCTTGGAGATAATGGTGAAGATGAAAAGACTGAATCTGTGCATTCCTCTCTGACTATCATTGTCTGGGCGCAGAGCCAGGCAGCTTTGTTTTTTACCATCCTTTATCCTCATTTCCACGTTTTACCCCTCCGCTCCCCCCCCCGATAATTTTTTAAACCTGCACACCTCCCCCTCGTCTCCATGCACGGTCTCCTCCTCACTTCCCTTCATTGGCTTTCAACTGGGAAGTAATCACTCCAATATTGTTTCCAGAAAGCCGTCAGTGCTGCTCAAACAGCTGCGTGGTTAGATGGAAGGAGCCGAGGAGGCTCGTTGGTGGCAGAGCAACACAAACAGAAGTTTGGTTAAACACAACTTCAGCTCGTCTTTCTAAACACGTTCGTTTACTGGATTCTCTTGCTCGCTTCGCTTTTGTGGTGAAAAGTGACAAATAAATGCCGTTCCATGCAAAATATAATAAAACGAAGGCAAACAAACATTTTTTAAAGACAGAATCATTCTCTCAGATGACAATCCTCTGCCAACAGTCTCCAAGACTGAGGATCTGGAAGTTCTGCTTCACACACCGTCTAACATTTGGTCAAAGTTTGGCAACAAAGAGTCTGCTTGAGAAATGGACTCGGCTTTCTGCGCCCGAACAAACAAATGTCACAAACACAGACTTCGTGTCTCTTTTCATCACAAGTCCCGAGAATCCAGAGACGGAGGCGGCAACTCGGAGATGGTCCAGTTTCATGAACAGAAAGGCAACGTAAAGTTCAGACTGAGGACTTTAAAAGTGTGAATGGTTGTGTTGAAAGGTCTCTGCGTGAAGGCTTTGCATAAAGCAAACTGAATACTGAGGTGACCTCCAGAGGACTGCTGCCAACTCTGGACTTGGAGCTCAAACAGGATCAAAACAAAGTGTCCACACAGGAACAGAGGTCAGAGGTCACACACTGCACCCTTGGAGGAGGGACTGAGTCTGAGTCCTCGCTGTGCTGGGACAAACGTCCCCTCACATAAACAAAAGTTCAATAAAGAACAACTTTAGGACTTAAACTACCGGATGAATTCATGTTTGAAAGTTTAGACAAGTGACTGATGAAAGAAGTGAAGGCTATAATGATCATCACCTGACAGGTTTTAAATTCAAGATGGCCACCGCAGTCCTGCCTTACGAGACATGTTGATGCTCAGTACGTGTTGAGGACATCTCAGCTAAACAAGCCTCAGAATCTCTTGGGAGGAAGTCGGAGACACTTGTGTTGGAAATGGTAGATCAGCTGCAGTGGCCATCTTGAATTTGGTTAAATTTAGAAGATTTTAAAACTTACAGATGTTCACCATCCATCCAACCATTCAACCATTCTTCCATTCAACCATACATACATCCAACCATCCATCATCTACCCATTTATCCAGCCAACCTCCATCCATCCATCCAACCATTCATCCATCCATCCAGCCATATAATCATGCATCCATCCATCCAACCATATATTCATCCATCCAATCATTCAACCGTTCTTCCAACCATCCATCCAACCATTCAACCGTTCTTCCAACCATACATACATCCAACCATCCATCCTTTCATCCATACATCTATTCAATTATCCATCCATCCAACCATCCATCAAACATTCATTGAATCATCCATCCAACAATACATACATCAACCCAAGCATCCAACCACCCAAGCATCATCTTGTTCTGGATTCTGGACTCGGGGGGCAGCATCTTGAGCACGGAGGTCCAGACATCTCTCTCCACAACCACTTCTTCCAGTGGACTTCAAAGCATTCCCAGACCAGCAGACAGTCTCTCCAGCATGTCCTGGGTCCTCCCCAGCATCTTCTCTCAGTTGGACATGCCCAAACACCTCCCTACAATGCTTTACTGTCAGTTTCATGACCAAGGGACTTGTTGAACAGGAAGTTCTGTCCCCTTTTTTAATACATCACCAACACTAAAGAGAAAAACCAACATGGGCAACCCATCTGAACACAGAACCTGAAGAAGTCTGCCCATTTCTGTCCCAGGTCTACCAAGCAGTCCCTGCGGCTCACACAGTCGTTTGCATTCAAGTGCAACATGTAATTTCAATAATTCACACTGACGTTAAGCAGTAACTCACAGAATTTACCATTTCTGTAAATTACCATGTAACGAAACCAAAACACAAGATTAATACTGAAAATTATCAGTGTAAGCTTAAACGAGGTATGATATTTACCCTTCATTTTTAAAGCAAATACAAGTTCTGAGTGGACTTTTTAAATTTACTGGTTTAAATTGAATGAATCGTGGTAAAAAAATAAAAACGTGCTTAATTTTCCTCAGTTATTAAACAAACTGCTCCTGAAGAGTCTCTCGCTGAGCTCAACCTTCAATCTTTAAGCATGTTTCTGCCTGGAGACAAAATTTAGGGTTCCCCGCTAGCTTACTGTTAGCACTTCAGTTTTACAGTTAAGAGGTTGTAGGTTCAACTCTCGACTTGGCCGTTCTCTGTGGAGTTTGTGTGTTCTCTCCGTGCATGTGAGGTTTTCTCACAGTGCAGCTAAAATACTTATGTTTATATAAACTGAGTGAATAGTTAACAGTTTATTTGTAAGCCGTTACGTATGAGTTATACAAAAAAATTGCAGCATGGTTAAAATTAAAAATTAAAAAACTCCCAACGGTGCTCTGTGAAGATGTAAAAGTACATTCTACTGCACTCTCACCTTGCTTTTTGGTGGTGGAGATGTTTTGTTTATTCTCCTTGTAACCCAGATGTTTCATCCAGAGCGTTGGAGCGGTTGTTTCTGCAGCAACAGAAACAATCATTTTATACATTAGGGCGATCAAGAGTTGTTCTTCCAAAACATTTAAATCGGCAATTAATTAAAAACACTAATAATTTATCAATCAAGGTCTGCAATAAAAAAAAAATACATAAAATTGTGTTTTTGTCAGGAACAGGATCCTACAGTTCAATTTTAAATTCATGATAATTCTATTGATGTGCAAAATCAATAAAATTAGAAACAGTAAATATGGTAAATGAACAGTATTTGAAGAAACTCAAAGCTCTTTACAACAATCTGTGCCATCATTTACCTCCACACACATATTCATACAACACTCTACTAGATCTCTACAGAGATCATCTGAATCTGTAGAGACTAATCAGAGCTTTAGATCACATTCGTACAGTGATGGGACACAGAGATAATGAGGGGTTCAGCGTCTTGCCCAAGGACACTTCAACATGTGGCTGCTGCTGGAACTGAAACCCCAACTCTCACATTGGAGGACGACCACTCTAACCACTCATCCACAGCTGCCAAAACATCCGCCCATCCATTATCTTTATCCACTTTTTCCTTTCCACGTTGCGGGAGTCAGGTCCCAAAATGATGCAAAAAAACTGGTCCGTGCATGTGAATGCACGTGGTCGCTGCAAGCTTGTGTTTTAATGTTGGCCTGTTTAACCACAAACATAAATAGGTAGATGCCCCGTTGAGCGGGCTGGCCCGCTGCAGCGGTAAGTCAGAGCGTCCGCCATTTTAAATGTGGCGGAACTGCCGGTCAACCAATACAAGGAAACGGACTGAACTTCATAAAGACAACTTTTGTAACTGTAGGAGCCATATAAATAATTGAAACTTAATAAAAATGTTATTTTTGTTGCTTGAGTTGATTATGTGGGTTATAGTTGTGGTTCTGCCGTTTGAAGAAAGTAAGCATTTGTAATTGTGTTTAAGCTTATTACGCGGTCCCTTTTGATTGGCTGTTGACTAATGGGTTTAAAGAGGATGAAAGCATTTGTCTTTTGTGGAAGTCTGGCACCCCAAGAGTAACAGTCTTTTGACCATCACTTTCTATTTGCTTTGAATACGTTTGCTTATTTTTGTGTGCATCTCTTCTAATTATGTCCAGTAAAGACACAAACATAAATCGCTGGATTCAAGACCTCTTTTTTGAAGAAATGTGTTGCGAACGAAAGAGCTTTCTAGACTAGTGAGAGCTTGCCGCACTTACAGTAACTTTTAAAAAATACAAATGTAGTCTTTGGTGCCTGTTTGGTTTCCAAATACAGTATATTAGTGTGTGTGAATGACAGTCAACAACTTCAAACACTTTGTAGAACGGCGCTTTATGGAGTTCTGTCCATTTCTTTGTATTAACTGCTCGGAAGTTCCGCCACATTCAAAATGGCGTCGACGTACAATTCAGTGCTCAATGAGGCGTCTACGTTTTTATGTCTGTGTTCAGCTGTATTGTAGGGAATTAGACCACATAAACTACACCTGGTACCACCATTATGTTTTTTTTTTGTATCTTTCTGGTGGAGGTTTCTTTCTGTTAAAATGGAATTTTTTATTTCCACTGTCACCATCACGCCATTCAGGATGGGAGGTTCTGATGAAGTGAAAATTTGAAATGGTCTACAGCTTCTTTAAATAGATAGCCTTTACCAATTGGTGCTGTATAATGTGTGATGTTTTTGTACAGTGTCCTAAGATTATTTTTCTTGTGAATTGGTACTTTATAAATAATCTGAACTGAACTAAACATGATTTTGTTTTGGGATACTGTGAAATAATATTTCACAATCATCAAACTGCACCATCTTTTTATTCAATATATTTGACAAGTTAAAAATGTTTCTGGATTTGGGTTGCAGCTCGGCATTAAGGGGTGATGGTCACTCTGACCCGTTGAGAACCATCGGTCTAATATACGGACAAGTCAACACTGTTATAAGGGTTGGTTGAAGAAGACTTACCCTCAGGGGGGGTGTGGGTCTCCATGGTGGGTGTAGGTTTGGAGCCATCATCTGGGTTCAGAGTGAGAAAGAAACGGAAAGAGACTACCATTATTGAGGTTAATACAATCTACTCTCCAGAACTGTTGAATGATTGGGATTTGCACATGGCCCGGCCAAGAGAAACAGACAGAAAAACAGTCAGAAAGAAAGATGGAATAACAGAAAAACATGGGGCAGCCACTCCAAAGTGCCTCCGAACACCCACACTATACATCAGTCTCGCACCAGCATGACTGGGCATACACACACACACACACACACACACACACACACACACACACACACACACACACACACACACACACACACTCACACACAGAATAACCCCTAAACCCCAATACCACCAGATTATTGCATTAGTTGTCCCTTATTGCACTTATTCAGTTCTTATTACAGCTTTTTGTCAAGTTCAGCAACGACTGACGGATAAAAACTATTTTTAAATCGGTTTGTTCTTGTCTTGATTGATCTGCACCTTTTCCCCGATGGTAACTGTTCAAACAGATCATGTCCAGGGTGAGACATGTCCTTTAAGATGACGTGGGCTTTTTTGAAGTGGCAGAAACTGTGTAGATATTCCAGTGAGAAGAGGGCAGCCCATGATCTTCTGAGCTGTGTTGATAACTCTCTGGAGTGCTTTCCTCCTATCCACTGTGCAGCTAAGATACCACACATTGCAGTAAGTTAAGATGTTCTCTATGGAGCATCGGAAAAAAAGAGACCAGCAGTCTGAGTGATGTTCCTCCTGAGCTCTCTCAGGAAGTGCATTCTCTGCTGGGCCTTTTCAGCAGACCTGGAGGTGTATGATCGGAAGGAACGGCCTCTCTGATCTGAACCCGAGCAGAGTTCTATTGTTGGACTTCTGTGTTAATCATAGTTTGTCCATCACGGACACCATGTTCAAACAGAAGGGTGTCCATAAGTGCACTTGGAACCAGGACGTCCAAGGTCGTAGATCGATGGTTGACTTTGTAGTCATGTCATCTGATTTGCAGCCATTTGTTTTGGATAGTCGGGTGAAGAGAGGAGCTGAGCTGTCAACTGATCACCGCCTGGTAGTGAGTTGGAACAGATGGCGGGGGAAGATGCCGGACAGACCCGGTAGACCCAAACATGTAGTGAGGGTTTGCTGGGAACGCCTGGCAGAAGAACCCGTCAACGCCTGGCAGAAGAACCCGTCAACGCCTGGCAGAAGAACCTGTCAGAAAGATCTTTGACTCACACCTCCGGGAGAGTTTTAACCGCATCCCAACTGAGGCGGGGGACATTGAGTCTGAGTGGGCCGTGTTTTACACCTCAAATTGTAGTAGCTGCCTTGAGTTGTGGCCACAAGATTTTCTGTGCTTCTCATGGTGACCATCCTAGAACTCAATGGTGGACACCCTGGGTTAGGGAGGCTGTCAAGGAGTCCCATCGGTCCTTGTTGGCTGGTGGGACTCCAGAGGCAGCTGAGGAGTACTGGAAGGCCAAGCAGCCTTGGCTGTTGCTGAGGCAAAAGCTTGGATGTGGAAGGAGTTTGGTGAGGCCTTGGATGGAGACTCTCGGTCAGCCCTGAGGAAATTATGGCAAACTATCAGGTGGCTGAGGAGGAGAAAACAGCTCTTTACTATGTTCATTGAAGGTGGGGTGCTGTTGACCTCAACCAGTGATGTCATCAGGAGGTGGAAGGAATACTTCTCTGACCTTCTCAATCCCACCGGCACGTCTTCCATAGAGGAAACTGAGTCGGTCGACATCAGGGGCAGTGACACTGGATTGGCAGACTAAGGTGGTGGTTCCCCTCTTCAAAAAGGGGGCCTGGAGGGTGTGCTCCAATTATAGGAGCATCACTCTCAGCTTCCCTGGTAAGGTCTATTCAGGGGTTCTGGAGAAGTTTGACTGTTGAACCTTAGATCCAGGAGGAACAATGTGGGTTCCATGCTGGCCATGGAACGCTGGACCAGCTCTTTAAAATTCAAGTCAGTTTCTTTATATAGCACCAACTAAGTCACAACAGAAGTCACCTCAGGGCACTGTACGAATACGTCCATATAAGTTGAAATGAGTTTGATCTGCAGGGTAGATGGACTCTCCCTCAGAGATGGGGTGAGAAGTTCAGTTATCCGGGAGAGACACTGAGTAGAACCGCTGCTCCTCCACATCCAGAGGTGCCAGTTGAGGTGGTTCGAGCATCTGGTTAGGATGCTCTCTTCGGGCGCCAGCTAAAAGGAGACTCCTGGAAAGACCCAGAACACGCTAGAGAGACCACGTCTCTCGGTTGGCCTGGGAACACCTTGGGGTCCTCCCAGAAGAGCTGGAAGAGGTGGCTGTGGAAGGAGATGTATGGACCTCCCTGCTCAAGCTGCTGCCCCCGAGACCCGACTTCAGAGCAAGTGGAAGATAATGAATGGATAGATGGATGGATGGATATTCAATAATTGTTCTCACATAATGATTGTACTATTACTTAGTCATTCACATGTAGATCAAAAGCACTTTTAAGTCCTAACAGTTTAAGATCAAAAGCCACTCTTGATTCATCTTAGTAATATTTGGAAAAACAGAACTTATTACATTTTAGGAATATACTTGTTTTTTTATGTAAGATTTTACATGATTGCCTTGAATGAACCGAACACAGGGCTGGAAGTGATCTTAGTACAGGGACCACCACTAGAGGTGACTGTAAGGTGCCATATAGATGTACAACCTTTGTAACAGCCGTCAGTCAAAGGATGTAAATATTTTAATAGTTTACCACCAAATTTAACAAAGTATTCAATCTATTCCACCTTTAAGGCTCATTGGAAACATTATTTGAAGAAATATCAAACCTGTGATGACTATTAACCTGTACATAATTTATTCTATGTACTTCTTTAAATGCATTTGTCCAGTTAATTTAGTGCATATGTTTTTTTTTATTTTTTATTAACAAACCCAGGAGCACAGATGTAAATTAGCCTTCTTGGCTAAATCGAGAACACTTGCGGTGTAATCCCCAGTTCATATAGCTGCACTGTCATAATACAAAAAAAAGTATTTCCTATGTTTCCAGATGGAGTTCTAACTAGCAAGAATTTGCATTAAAACTTTGGCTGTTTGTGGAGAGAGAAAAACACATTTCTACTATGTGACAATTCAAGTGCATGCTCAGTAACAAAGTTTACTCTAATATAAAAATCAAATGCATTGTTTTATCGATCACATTTTTACACAAGCTACAGTAAATATTGAGACAGGCTGAATCAGATTTGATATGACGCTGTGATTGAGCTGCCTAGAATACTCACCCTGTGCAGTTTGGTAGAACCTGAAACATTTCTTTAGAAAACAATTCAGACAAAAGCAAACAGAACATTTTGGAAGACACTCAACAAAGAGACATTACCAACGTTTTCATTTTTGTTCGATTCATCTCTGCCTGAGTTGGTCTTGGACAACTGTACACTGAAACTAACCAAAGATTTAATATATTTTTATACATTTTGATTCGTTTTAAATCGCCTGTTGCCATGAAAGGCAGACGATTTATGCATGCCTGTGTGTCCGCATGCGTTCATCTCATAAACTGCTTGAGAAAATGTGATGAAACTCTTAAGGTAATCAGCGGACACACATTCATAACTTTTGGGCTGTTTTAAGGTTTACTCACTCACTTAACTCCAGAGGTCACTATAAACAGCATCGGATCGGGCTGGGACTGTACGACTCGTTGGCGAACAGCATTTGTGAGGGAGTCTCTTCAATCTCTTGAAACATTTGCAGGAGTTTTAAGTTTCCTCGCAGGTCCCACAGGCTTGATGAATGACAAACGCTCAGCTTCTTTTAAAATAAAGTCGTTGTGAACTTCAACTTTTCTCAAAAGCACTGAAGCCGTGTTTGAACGCCTGCCGTGGAGCACCTCCGGCTTCACGTCCCGGTGAAAGGTTATTTCTAAAGTACACACCAGCAGATTAAAGCAGAAATGTGGGGGCAGACCAACTTGTCATTCTGGGGTTGGGGTTGATCTATGGCTGGTCAAGCCATTTGGTGCTCAGATTGTTCTGTGGCAGTCTGGACAGCGAATGGCGGCCGCTGCTGGGGGTCGGGTTGTGCTGCTCAGCTGCAGCTTTCCCGTTTGCTTCATAGTTAACAGATGTTTGCCATTTCCCTGTGTCTTGAACGGTCTTCAATGGTCCTCGGTCGGAAAAGGGTGGATTGATCTCTTCGGGTCGAGGGTCAGGTTCTGCCTCAAGTGGAAGAGTTCAAGTATCTCGGGGTTTTGTTCATGAGGGATGGAAGAATAGAGCGTGAGATTGACAGATGGATTGGTGCAGTCTGCAGTATTGTGGACTCTGTGTTGGTCTGTTGTGGTGAAGAGGGAGCTGAGCTGTAAGGCAAAGCTCTCTGTTTACCGGTCGGTCTACGTTCCTCACCTATGGTCATGAGCTCTGGGTAGTGACTGAAAGAATGAGACCGTGGATACAAGTGGTTGAAATTAGTTTCCTCTGCAGGGTAGCTGGACTCTCCCTTAGAGATAGGGTGAGAAGTTCAGTTATCAGGAGAGTCTTGGAGCAGAACCGCTGCTCCTCCACATCGAAAGGAGCCAGTTGAGGTGGTTTGGGAATCTGGTAAGGATGCTACTTGGGCGCCTCCCTAAGGAGGTGCTTTGTGCATGTCCAACTGAGAGGAGACCCCGGGGAAGACCCAGGACACGCTAGAGAGACTATGTCTCTCAGTTGGCCTGGGAACGCCTTGGAGTCCTCCCAGAAGAGCTGGAAGAGGTGGCTGTGGAAAGAGATGTCTGGACCTCCCTGCTCAAGCTGCTGCCCCTGCAACTCAACTTTGGAACAAGAGGATGATGATGGATGGATGGTTGAATGGATGGATTGAACGATCTGCTTCCAGTTATCACTTCACATGCCGAAGGCCTTCATTGAGGCTTTTAGAGTGTCTTTAAAGCGCTTTTTCTGGCCTCCTTGTGTGAACATCCCTTGTTGTAGTTCACCATAGAACAGTCTCTTAGGCAGGACATGTGGCATCGGATCCCTAAGAAAGCAGAGACTGCATCAGGATGATGTAGATGCTGTGCAGGCCAATGCATCTTAGGACCTGAGAGTCTGGGATCTCATCTTGTCATTTAATGCCAAGGAGTTTCTGAGGCAGGTGGTGTGGAAGTGGTTCAGCTTCCTTGCATGGCATTGGTAGACTGTCCATGATTCACAGCCATACAGGAGGGTGGTCAGGCCTATGGTCCTGATCTTGATCTTTGTCCCTTAAATTAAGCTTCGTCTGGTCCATACTTTCTTCTGTAGTCTACCAAAAGCAGCAGTTGGTTTTCAAGTCTGGCGTTTGCGTCATCATCACCAGCAGCATTGCTTACCAAGGTAAGTACACTTGTCCACAGATTTCACAAAGCCAAGTGTTTAAAGAACTGTAACTACTGAAAACTCCAACTAAACTCTGTCCTCTCTGTTAATAACCCCCCCACTGCAATGCTTCACGGACTTTATACATCTCATTTCCTAAAGCAGCACTTTATGCTGCACAAATATGGACTTTGAACGCATCAGCTGGAACAAAATCAGATCAGGAAACATTTTGAACTTGTGAGTCTCTGCAAAGCATGCACACATACACACACACAGACACACAACAAACAACAGATCTCAACTCACCTTTTTTCCCAGTGGTTGGTGGCCCGGCTGGCTTATCGGTTACTGACCCTGGAAGAGGTGTTTGGACAGGAGGAAACATGAACAGAGCCTGGGAGACAGCAGCTAGAACCAGTATATTTTAGGACTTTTCTTCCAAAACTGTATGTTTTAAATGAATTTTGCATTTTTGTGACTAGTAAAGACAGAAAAACAACATTTCTACAGATGACAAAGTGTTAAACACTGAGGGTAATGAATGCATTCTGTTAGTATTTGACTGTTTGACCACCCTGAACCTGCTGAACTAGCTCCATACTCACACCAACAAGAACAATCTCCTTCAGCCGTAAAAACTTTACCAAAATAAAAGCTCAAGGTTTCAGATTATTTCAATCTGAGCATGCAAGTAGTTGGTGTCATGCATGGATGCACTGAGTGGAAAAAAAAAAAAGAAGATGCAACCAATCAGAACAGGAAGACAAAGGGGAAATGATGTGAAGGGTCCTAAAAGGAAACTTACTACTTGACAATCCACTTTTCCCAGCATTAGCTCCCATAAATTCACGGAGGTTTCCTGCAAATGTATGTGAGCTCATTCATTGGGTCATCGTCTGCGGGGTGTTTAGCATGAAAACAAAAGCTATCGGAGAGGAAACGAGTTCTGCTTGTCCAGTTGCAGCAGCTGAACACATTCTGCTTCTGGTTTCTTACATACCTTTGCAAGAAACCCAGAATATATTGGACCTATTGCAGGACAGACAGGAGATAAACATGTTGCCATTTTCTTGTTTGTCTGGAACTCACCAAAAAATTTGGAAATACTAAGATGGACCCCCCCCCCCCCATACATTGTTTGAAAAAAAAAAAAACTGTAATTTTAAGTAATATAAAGAAAAATATATCCACCATTGATATTGGCAATACGATACCATCCATCCATCATCTTTACCCGCTTCTTCTTTTTTAGATTTCGGGGGGGTCACTGGTGCCCAAGTCCAGCAGTTACTGTGTGAGAGGTGGGGACACCCTGGACAGGTCTCCAGTTCATCACAGGGACAAACGAGACAAACAATCATTCACTCTCTCTCACCTAGGGACAATTTAGTTACCGATCAGCCTAACATGCATGTTTTTGGTCTGTGGGAGAAAACCAGAGTACCTGGAGAAAGCCCACACGGCACGGAGAGAACATGCAAACTCCACCCAGAAAGGCCCCCGCAAGGATTTGAACCGGCGACCTTCTCACTGAGAGGCAACAGCTCTACCAACTGAGCCACTATGCCGCCCGGCAATACGATACAGCTACGTCTTTTAAAAATCTGTTACCACTCTTCAGCGCATTGTACAATGGTATAGTCCACTGTGTCTACTTTTATCACCCCCGACTTGGTGCCTTTGTTGGAGTTTTCCCCGGTAGACGAGGTGGTTCACTGGTCACTTCATTTAAAACATTAAAAATCTTTAAGACTGATGTTAAAATATGGCCATTCTTTGAGTGTTTGAGTTTCCCCAACAGTCCCAGCCCAGGGACAAGATACCATTATTTTCTGAAACATCCAACAAATCAGAAGTCATTGAAGTTTCTCGTTTCCGTTTTTCTGCTACTGCACCCCAACAAAGTCTACTAGAACCATTGAACCAGATCCGAGTCTGAATCTGTTCAGCACACAAAGTTTGTGTTTCAGGTGGAGGTGAAACAAGCAAAGCCAAGGTGCTTCATCTCGTCCACAAGTTGCCAAATTACCTGAACACACCGGTGTCCTGTTGCGCACAGAAGAGCCGCTCACTGGCTTACCATCGGTGTTCGCACACCAGCAGTAACCCGTCAGGGTGTGACACTGAACCTGAACAAGGAAAGAGGAAGGAGGTCAATATGCGAAATCAATTCAATTCAGTTTATTTATAAAGCACCAAATCATAACAGAGGTCATCTCAGGGCACTGAACAAAAACACTCACACATTATAAAAAACAATTACCGTAGTAAAAGTTGTCCAAGGAAGGAAAATAACAAATACACTAATGAGGTTTGCATATATTTTAATATAACTTAATAAATGATGGTGAATAAAGACATACTCTTAGGCCTGGAACACATGGGAATGTTTATTGTCAAAAAACTTTTCATCATTTCTGAAATATCTCATTATCACGACAATGTTTCTACAAATATATTCATGCACATGGAAATGCTGAAAATTACCCAAAGTACTGCAGTAACTGCCCCATGTACGTGTTGCTGTAACGCTGCATTAAAATACAGCAAAAACAGGAAACAAGAGGTGGAGCATGCACATAAAGTTTATATGTTTTATCAATAAACGCAACACAAGGACGGCAAATGAAATAAAATTATTTTTGACGACTGATGAAGTGGAGCGTCTACTTTGTGTCACATCAACTAAGAGAAACACACAGGGGAGTTTTGAAAAAGATTTTTGCACTAATAATGCTGCACAAATCAGACTTCTGACATGCTGGTGAAACAATGAACATGTTTCAAGATAGAGAAGTCTAGAAATAGTATGAACGACAGAGGTAAGAAAGTTAATAGCACACAAAAGATTACTGGGCACATCAGGAAATCAACTGGATTCAATAACCAAAATTACAAATGAAAGACGGAATACAGTTGTTGATCGATATAAACTAGAGAAAGAAAAAGATCTCGAGTTGGTTTGTGTGGGATTCAAGGATCATACCGGTTACACATAATAAAGGGTTTAAACAGCTGGCAAATAAAAAGGTATCTCAGTGAAGTATAAGACTTGAACTGAGGCATTTCAGAAGGCCTACGAGGGAAACGAAGATGAATAGTGTCAATTCTATACAGAGGTCTAATGGCAGGAAAGAAAACTTCCTCTGTACATCAAAGAAAAACGGGGAAAAACTGCAGGAACAAATAACTAAAGAAGAACGGTAAAACGTATGTAAAATGCAGTGAACGGCCACCGGCTCCAGGATCTGGAGAGAATTTAAATGTAAAAATATGGTAAAATTTTTTATAACTCCAAAGATCCGGAAGAAAGTTATATCCAGTACACAACTGTGCTCGAGATCCTGTGGACCCGTGAATGTAGATCGTGTACACATATTGAGTACTTGTCAACAAAGAAAAATATATTGGGATAAAATATGGCTTAGCTTGGAACAATTCTAGGATATGAGACACCCAAAACATGACAAACACCATTTGGGAAATCTCACACGTAACATAATACAAAAAGAGGATAAATACCTTATTAGGATATTGTTAATGGCAAGTAAAAAAGCCATCACAAGGATGGTTCATAAAGTGGATCCACTGATCGTGGAGCTGTGGCTGTGATTGTGGAAGAGATATTTGCAATGGAAATGCACTCAAATTAGGGATGCACGATATTATCGGCATGGTATCGGTATCGGCCAATATTAGCGATAAAGTTAAATATCAGACATTCCATTAAAATAACTCACCGATAGAAAAGGCTTCTGGTTTAAGTAAATTTTTAATTTAAGGAACTGTCAAGTATATCTATTAATGCACCACTAATGCGCTTTTCACTTGAAACTTGTGAACAGGTTAAGATTTGTGAAAATTTACAAATATGCACTGTTCCGAATGTTGTCATAGTGTTAAAGAGAGTAAATGTCATGAATAAATTTTACATTAAGCATAATCCACGTTGAAGTGTTGCATCAGACCTCTTTTTGGCATCTGCATTTGGTAGCAAGCCAAACTGAAAAAGACCATGTAGAATAACGTAGTATTTTAATTCCACAGCAGAGAAAGCTGTGTAGTCTCTGTAAGTAGGTCTAGGAAAAATATCAGTATCGGCATCAGTTATCGGCTAAATAAGTTTTAATATATCGGCATATCGGCCAAAAATCCAATATCGTGCATCCCCAACTCAAATCAAGACCGCAAGAGGTGTGATTTACTGAAAAATGGGGAAAATTGACTTATTATAGAAAGAATACACCACATTTACAACTGGACATTGAGAACCCTGGAAAAATAACCAATGTTTAAGGATGGACTGTATGTTATACTTCTACACTGTAACTGTTCCAAGAACATTTCTATAAAAAAATGAGTAAAAATAAAAAGACACCAAAGACCACTGTAAAGGACTTATAAGCTTCAGCAGGTGAGATGGGCGAGACTGAGCGTACAACCACTGCTGCTTGAGTTTTTCACCAGCCTGAGATTAATGGGAGAGCGGCAAAGAGAAAGACGCCGTTGGATTAAATCTAGACTAGGTTTTGGTAACCGGCATGTGGAGAACTCCATGGTCAAGTACTTCTTGGCAGCCAGTCCTGAAAGGCTTGTAAAGATAGAATGAGTGCATTTCACACTGTGTGACCGATACGCACCTGGGCATATGTTCCATCCCCGTTGCATTCTGGGATAAAGATGGACTCGTGGGGCCTCCTCGACTGTTCCAGAGCATCACTCCTCTCAGTACGACACTTTGACTGACCCACATCTGAAACGTGTCGACAGGGACAGCCTGGTGTCAAACACTGCATGCACACCAACACCACTGATGCGTTTGTTGTCCTAGTCAGTAAAATACTGTTCACTCCTGCAGGTTGCCACGTGGGTCACATCTGCTGGCCTTTGACAGTATGAAGGGAAAAGTATGAAGGTTCGTTAAGAGATCTGAGCCCAGGACGTGGACAGAAAACTGACAAATTGTCTCAGCCAATCAGAAAGCAGATAACTACAGTAGACTCCGCCCCCCGAAGCCTCACTTCCGGTTGAAACGTCCCTGATAAACAGATGAGCTTACATCGCTACATGTGACATGTCAACAATTGTTTTGTTTTTTTGTTAAAAGTAACCGAGTAGCCTCGCTGTTGGTTGCTAGTTCCGATAGCTAACTCTTGTCCACAATGCTAATTTATTTAATGTCTGCTCACGATTTCCTGAAGCTTCACCACACGCCGCTTCAAGAACCAAAGTAACGTTCTGATAACTGTACTTTGTTGTAAAGTTGTAGAAATACAAAACGGCAACACTCAATAATATTAAAACTGCCTATGTCTAGGATTTAGGGGTTTCCCCCCGCTGACCTTTGACCTCTGAGTGTCTCTTTACAGGTGGAGAAGTTGGAGCTGGAGCCGCAGGAAGCTGAAAAGTTTTCACTGAAAGACAAAAAAGTCAAAGTTTTGTGCAGTTAGGACTATTTATTTAACTTCATACACTACAACATTTTGCATAATCCCATATGGTATAATGCTAAATGTGTCGCTCGGAGTGTGTTGTGAAGTAACACATCAAATTTAGCTCGGTATCTGTAAAACTGACAGAGTTTAGCTGTGATTAAAAAATAAATTGCTATGACAGACATTTTTACATACGGTTTTCAAACTTGGCCAGTAAACAATGGAGTCAGTTGTGTTTGTTAGCAAAATATCACATGAACCACTGGATGTATTTCAGGGAAACGTTCAGAAAATAATCAATGGACGAACATCTTCAGCTCGTTAACATTTGGAGTCAACCCAATTCAAGACGTCCTGTACAGATGGGTGATAAGAGCCAACACAGCTCGGGCACTGGTTCATATACTCAGCTAAGTTCTGTGGGAGTCGCAGTCATCTCCATGATATACTCTGAACGCCAACACATCTTTTCAGCAGATGATCTTAGCATTAAACTAAAATAAACTATGCAGTTTCTCTCCAGCCTTCAGAGCAGGCACCAAAAACAGAGACAGGCAGTAAGCTGCCGTTAGTGTTCACTTTGTCCGATGCCGTGCAGCATCCTCTAATATTCGTCCTGAACTATTGTACATAAGGAAGTATCTTTGCACGTCTCACCTTGACACCTGCCTCGGTGTGCCAGTGTAAGAGACTTATCTCTGCAGCGGGCTTTCTGAAGCTCACAGCTGGTTTCATAGCTCCGTCCATCCGAACCACACACCGGCTTCCCCACAGTCCGAGAGCAGACCGTCCCACAGGGACCGTCTCTGTCCCCAATCAGCCACTGCAATGACAGGTACAGGAGCTTAGCACATCAGTCCAGAGATTCTGGGACACTTGGCAGCCAATTGTGTCTTATGTTAAAAATATGTCTGTGCCTGTGTATCTGGTGCGGGGATTTTGTTGTATGTTTTTTTTATTTTAATGTGTGCATGGTCTAGAAAAGAAAATTTTAAATAAAAACTTTGAAAAAAAAAGGTCTAATGTTCCCTGCTTCAGAGGAAAAATGGGGAATTGGGAATACCCTCTGTCCATCCGTGCATTTTGTAAACAAGATAACTTGGAAAATATGTAAGGTGGGAAACATTCAACAAGAATACCACAGACGGCACATTATACACCCATCATTCAGCCATTATACAGCCAACTACAGCAATGACCTAGACCAGAAAATATACTGTATCCATCTTCTCAGGAACAGGTGGCAGGCAGCGATTTTGCCGTCTACTCAAGTGTCTGGTGCCACCTACTCTTAACTAATGATTTTTCCCCTTTGGTGTCAATTAACGCACCAGTGCATGATAAGTCACATGACCAATTTCAGTCGCTCTGAGACTATTTTAATTTGTATCAAAAGTACAGACTTTAAACTGCACAACATTTTTTAAATCATGTTGTTAAGTCAAGTAAAAGCAGAGTTATGATAAACAATCCACGTCACATCTTTATCTGAAAATCAACGTCATATCCGAGTGCGTTAGAGCGAGAAGTTGCAGCGAAGACGGGCAATCTCAGGGACAAAACACCCCATCACCTTCCACTTTCACCTCCCATCCCCACCAAACAGATGAAACAACATCACTCCTCCTTTCTGCCGGAGGCTCCAAGCTCCAAAAAAAAAAAAAAAACATCTACAGGAAGAAGAAATGCGGAAGTTGAATGGAGTTCAGCGCGATAAAGTCACAACGAGAGCGGGAGTGAGTCATGAAGGTTGAGAGATTTGTGATATTTAGAGTGTTTGGGGTTTATAGTTGGGGTGTAGTTTAGTGTGTTTTGATGCGTTTGAGTCAAAACAATGAGACGATTTTTGAGTGTAAGGAGGATGGAGCTGCAGACCCAGAGGAGGTCGGAACCAGTGGTGTAGTCTATGTGATGGGTATATGGCGTATACCCACTAGAAAAGTTAGGGAATTTTGGTATACCCACTTAAAAGTGCCAGTGGCCAATGATATGTCACGCATCATTGGGCACGTGTCATTGATGCATAAAACAGCAGTTAAATACTTCCGTAACAGTCAGTCTGTATGCAGCACTAGTTTAATACATTCACTTATCCAGCGCAAACTCTTCGCGGCGCCTTTTCGGTGCTCTGTGCCATATGCTCCCCTTTCCTCCTGTTCAGTGAGCAACAAATGGGAGGACAATGTTGTTGCACAATGCAAAAACGTTGTGCTGCACAAAACATGTCGACATGTCTGCAAAACACCGCACACACTAACAAACATGTTTTTGGACTGTAGAACAAACAAATGAAGAAAGAAAAGCCATGCAGGCAAGAGAGGAACTTGACACAGAAAAATGAGACAGAAAGACGACAACAGTGCTAACAACTACATCACTACGCAGCCCACATTAAAACTAGCAGTTTACACGAAGAACTGAAAACTAAAGTGTTTCAAGTCCATTAGCTCCTCCTCCAGCTTCCAGTCCAACAGTCTGGCCGTCTTCCTCATTCCTGACTCACAAACCTAATGGGTGAAACCCCTTTTTATAATAAAGCACTAAGTCCCACTTTGAGACGTCACTGGTTGGGAAGTTGAAGTCTCCCACGTGTCTGAGTCACCCTGATCCACCCACAGACTCATGGAGCTGAAAGCAGAGACGGAGCAGATCAGGAAAGTCTCCTCATCACAAGGAGTCAGCTGAGGAGGTTCAGGATGTTTCCTGTGCACCTCCTTCTGGGGGTTTAAGGGCACATTCAACAGGGAGAAGACCTCTGGGCTCACACAGAACAACGAAGGGATTACCAGTATCCTCTCACTTGGGAACACCCAGGAGGACCTGGGGAGAGAAATGTCTGGCTTTTCCTTCTGGACTTGTTACTTCCACAACATGACTGTGCAGAAGTGACAAATAAGGATCGATTGATATCTTTTCATTGTTTGGAAGATACTTAACGTAAAATATTGTAAATTGCGTCCACATGTGAGGGACGACTTGTTCCCGTCGTCCTCAGATTATTAGGATTCCCAACATCCAGAGCAGACGGTAATCTCTGATAATCATCAGTCAGAGAGCCCACGGCCTGCTCAGGAGGTCAGAAATGTTTTCTCGACAACAACGCCGAGGCTTTTAACAACAGCAGCAGTTTATTTAATCAGCTTCACTTTTGGCTGGACTTGATGTCCACTCGTCCCCCTGAATCCAAACAAGGCGTTTGGTAAAGACATCACGAGCGGGAAACGATGAGCAACGAGTCTCCCACTTAACAAGGAAGATTTTATAAACACTCACGAATGCACGAGACGACGCACGTTAGCCAGAATCCAAACCTGGCTGCACTCTTCGCACCACTCGTAAAAGAAGTGAAACTAAAGCGTTGTTGTGCAACCACTGCGAGACGAACAGAACCAGAGCGCTGCCAGAGTCTCCAGTCTGGCGCTGGAAATAAATCTAAAAGAATACTTTTATACTTTTTCTTTAAAACATGTCAGGAAACTTTCAGGCTTTTTTCTCCAAGTATAGTTAGCATGACAAAAACGTTTCTCCCCAATAATCTTTAGAACGCAAGACTGAAAACTTTATCTTGTGAAAATATCTTTGTTATAAGCTAAATAAAAGTTTTAATTAAAACATAAAAAGACTAAAAAGCTGTTTGATGCAGTTGTCCTGGAATTTCATTGATAAAACGCAGGTTTTCATCAACTTATTTTAAAGTTTTACTTTCAATTAAGGAAATTGGGGCCGCAGAGCGAGTGTTCAGGGGCCACTTTTGGCCCGCGGGCCATATGTTGCCCAGTTCTGCTGTAAGAGATCAAGAGTCCTGTCAGGTAGATCATGAGCGAACCTGCAGCGGTGGATGACTACATGTCCAGCTGGTGTTTCCGTGACGTTAGAATTGATCTTTGGACAAGTTTTGAGTCCTAAAACAAAAATCACTCGATAAAACGTTTCCATGTTCAGATTTATTTATTTATTTATTTCTGGACTGTGGACGGTCAGACACCCTAATAAAGTCCGTTCATCCGTTTTCTACACTCGCTCGGTCAAGATCAGGGTCGCAAGGTCACGAGCTGAAGCGCAGTTCTGCAGGAGGGTATTTATATATATATATTCAATATTCAACCTTTATTTATATACGTTAATCCCATTGAGCCTCGGGGACTCATTTATAAGAGAGACCTGAAAAAAACAGACAAAATATAAATATTAAACAGGAAAAAGTCAATTTATTGATTAAAAAGTGTCATTTTTCAAGATTATTCCAGAGGAAGTGACGTCCACTGTGTTCATTAGTTGTACCCGACAGTCGTCAGTCCTTCACAATAAGAGTTTCAACACTGAGCGCATAAACATTCACACATTCATGGAAGATCTTTTCAGAAGTTCAGGAAGAGGAAAGAGGCGCAGCTGTGATCCATTTTTTAGCGCAATTCTCGTCCCACGTTTTTTAACCCATTTCAAGCTCTTTCAGCACAATCCTGCTACGACTTTTGGTGTCGCTGCAACTTCAGCTTTTTTAAATATTTAGCCTTTTCTGTCATTTTTATCCTCATAGAAAATGAATCGAGCTCATTTTACATCCTTCAGATCTGTTTATAACCTTTTACTGCTCCTTTCACGTTCTGCTTCTTTCAGCTTCTTTGTGCAAATGTAAACTTTATTTCAGCTACTTTCAGCTGTTTTTTTGCTCCTTTTAGATTCTTTCTGCCAACTACATTTTTGTGCTTCTTTCTTTCTGCTAATTTCAGCTTGTTCTGCTCCTTTCAGCAGTTTTCTGCGTGTTTCAGCTTCTTCTACCATTTCAGCTACTAATTAGCTGTTTATGCTCATTTTAGCTATTTCAGCTAATTCCACATTTTTGCACTCATTTCAACTTTTTTCAGTTTAATTCAGCAAAAATAAAAAGTGCTCCCCCTTCCTTCATGTAATTTCAGCTTCTTTCTGCCTTTTTAGCCGTTTTTTTTTTTTGCCCATTTCTGCGTTTTTCAGATAATTTCCACTTTTGTTTATTTCTGATTCTTTCCGTCTAATGGGGCAAACGTATATTTTCTGTTTTCATCTGCAGATTTAAGCTTAATCTACCTTTTCGGCTACATTTTTAGCCAATTTCAGCTGTTCTCAGAAATATCAAGTTTTTCAAGGCTATTTTCAGCCTAATTAAATTATTTCTACCAACTTCAGCTTGTTATGCGCCTTTCAGCATATTTATGCTTGTTTCAGTTATTTCAGCTACTATTTAGCAGTTTATGCCATTTTTAGCCTTTTCAGCTAATTCCACATGTTTTTAGCTCATTTCAGCTCTTTCCACATCATTCTGGTAGTTTAAACTTCAGTTTTTTTTTTTTAGCTAATTTCATCATTTTTGGGTTCATTTCTGCTTATTTCAACATAATTCAGCAAATATGTTCCGTTTCCTTCTGCTAATTTAGGCTTTTTCTTCCATTTCAGCTACAATTCAGCATGTTTTTAAGCTAGTTTCAGCTGTTTTTCAGCAAGATCTTCTGAAATTAGCATTCACACTGCATTCTTGCAAGAAATGCAATTTCTCTAGCTGTTTGGTACAACAGATGCTGCAACTTGGACCAGCAGGAAGTCTGGGTGTTGAAAGTCAGCACTCGGTGTTTGAGACTCAAAAATAAGGATTAAAACAAACAAGTGGGTTCAGGAGCACAGTAGGTTCACCTCCTCTGGATTAAGGCTTTTTTTTTTACACTATAATTTAAACTTTGATTATAACTTTTCACCTTTAATTTCAAAATAAATTTTAAAAAACTTTTTTTTATTTTTATTACTTCATGGTGGCTCTTTTATTTTCCTACACTGAAGTTGCCAGTTTGTAGTTTTTGTAAATCCTCCTAAAAGTCGACCTACGAGGAGATAAAACAGCAACGATGGTGGAGTCCAGCTGTCGGCTGTGATTCGGTCAGTCGGCTGCTTTTCATTTAGCTAAAGTCTTTCAAATGAGCGTGGAAACCATTTTTTCTGATCAAGCAGGATTCTCCGGGAATCAGCGAGTGAACGTCGTCTGGTTGGTAGTTTCAGCTTCTGACCTTTGTTTGTTGGCTCCTTCGGTTTTGTACGGTTTAGTTTTGTATAGTTTAGTTTTGTAGTTTTGTACAGTTTAGTTTTGTAGTTTTGTACAGTTTAGTTTATAAAGTTTAGTTTTGTACAGTTGAGTTTTGTACAGTTGAGTTTATAAAGTTTAGTTTTGTACAGTT